GTGGTAACTAGCCTCCACAGCGCAGAGTAGTTAAGGATAAATGTATTCATGTATAGACTTCAGTCCTGACCAAGCTTTCAACAAATTAATTTAAAGTCATTGCAGAAAAAGAAAAGGCTTTTTGGCTTTGGAATCCTGAGGCGTTCCCAGGCCAACTGAGAGACATAGTCCTTCCAACATGTCCTGGGTCTCCCCCCGGTTCTTCTTCCAGAGGGACATTCCCAGAACACCTCCCAAAGAAGGGCGTCGGCCAGGAGGCATCCAAAACAGATGCCACCTCAATTCAATTAAATGTATTCTTGTATAGCCCTAAATCACGACAATAGTTATCTCGGAGGACTTAAAAAAACAGCTGAATTCGCCAACACAGATCAGGTAATCAACAGTTCAACACAAGAAATGCAATGATAAAAACACAGAGCCATTGGTCCATAAGTGGAAGATGACCAATCTCCATAAATGTCCACCTCAACGGATGCCCCTTAACATGGAGAAGAAGCTGCTCTACTCCGAGCTCCTCCCGTGTGACTGAGCTCCTCACGCTATCACTAACGGAGCGCCCAGCCACATTACAGAGGAAACTAATTTCGGCCACTTGTATCCGCGACTAGTCCTTCCAGGCATGACCCAAAGCTCATACCCTTATTTAAGGATGGGAAGGCAGATCGACTGGTAAAATCTAGAGCTTTGCCTTTGGGCTCAGCTCTCTCTTCACCACTACAGTCTACAGACGTTGCTCACTCTTCACTATAAAAGTCCGATACAGTGGCCGGAAAACTCTCTCTCAGCACCTTCACTTGAACTCCGCCACATGAGAAAGGACCATGAGAAAGTGGGCGCTTCTTTTAGCCTCGGATTAAGAAGTACAATTGAGTTAACACATACATGTAGTAAGCTATGAACAAGTCTACAGACCAAAATAGTATTCTCACCCTTTTATTTACATCTTGCTGACTGTGAAAACGTCGTAAACTCCACCAGGCCCTGTCTTTGTCACTTTCAGCCATTAAAACCCTCACAACTGTCATTACTTTAAACAGCCATAAATGTGAGGCGCTCAAATGTCTGTCTGCACTTTTATGGTCACTGTTATTTTACTTTTACAACAGCCAATGGTATATTTGTCTTCCACTTCTCACATTTGTTCTATCGTTAGCCTATAAGTGACTGGCCATTCTGTAATGTTAATAATATAGTTGCTTGAATAAGTTATTTTGGTTTGAACAAAAAAGGGTGTAACATGTTCATCATTAATCATTACTGTTATTATTATTTATTTATTTATACATGGTGAAATGGAACCCGATTAATAGATATACACAAACAAACTCACTTTTCAGGAAGAAAACAAGTTGAAGTAAAGCCTCGTTCTAGAACAAATAACATCCTAAACTTTGGCAACATAAAAAAAAAAAAATTATAAATATAAAAAGTTATTTAATTTGACAAACTATATTTTCTAAGCATATTGCAGAAGTTTTGTCCGAGTTTATTACATGGTTGCTTGGTAACATCCCTATGACCTCACACTAGGGGGTGTGAGGTCATCAGCACAACCAGGAAGTTAAAAAAAATATATTCAAATTATTAAATATAAATGATGTAAACAGGTCTGGCCTGTCAAAGGGACTTTAAAGCACTTGAGTTCCTAACTTGAAAGTACCAAACTTTTGTTGTTGTTTCTTAACTACATTTTGTTTGTGCGACCAGAAAAACTCGTTCAAGAAACATTTTATGAACAAATCATGTTTCCTTTTATGAACTGGCGGGTGATTTATTTCCGGTCTGTAAAAGCTGATCTAAACATAGGACAAAGGCTAAAAGTTGTGATAGCACCAAGCAAGTGAGGAACAAGCCCAAATGAATTTTATAACATTGTTTTTTTCCAATGTGTTTTCAAAGCTAGGTATTCCAGCTTTAAGTTTCACAGTCGGATTTGGAAGATGATTTGAAACTCCTACTACTTGTGAAGTTATCTGAGCTTCTTAATGGACTGTGGTGGCGTGGGTGGGGGGATATATATTCTGGGCTGTTGTCCCCACTGGCTGTAAATTTAGACGCCACACCTTGCTCACACTCACAGGGACCAGACAGGCCCTGGTGTGGACCATGTGTGGGGATATTTCTGAAGTTTAGTCTCAAGTGGCTCCAGGAATTCCTCTCTCTCCTACGCAATGTGCACTCAGATCATAGTCCCCCGCAGGAGATGAGCTCAAGAGCCTGAGAAGAAGCTGAAGTTAAGGCCATTGAGGTGTTATTCTTCAAGAAAAGGTATGTGGAGATAGCGGTAATTCAATAGTGTAATGCTATCTACTAATGTCCTATTAAATCACCAGACACATTTTTGGCCTCTTTGACATCTTTAGATCAGCTTTTTCATCCAAAAAAAGTCAAAAAGAGAGGACCACCCTGGCTCAGCCAATCAGGGCTCTTATTTCATGCTAAAGATAACATTTTAAAATGAAGAAAAGATGTGGCTGTCTGATTTAATCTCAAAAAAGTTAGATTACCCCATCTTTAAAACACGTCATCTTACAACACCTAATCAATTTGATAAATTATATAATCTCAAATAATTCAAAAGTGGTGGCCCCAGTTCAGTTCTTTTCCCCTGCCCTACTATTTCTCCCTTTTTTTAGCCATGGTCTATATTTGATCATGTGTACGTCCACATATCTTTCCCCACGTGTAGTTTTAGCAACGTGGCAGCAACGTTTGCAGAGCTTTACATTTCTAAAAACCTCAGGAAACTACTCTTGAGAAACTTTTTCTGGAGATTTTTTGCAAATTTTGTGCAAACAGTGAAATCCAATCCATAAAACCTCAGCCCTCTAAACACTCTTCTATGTGGTTGTAATTGTTTGCGTAAGCCAACCATGCTTATTTTCTATCAAAGCACCCAGAACAGCGCTTCTATTCACTTGCAGCTAAATGAATAGTGTTATCCACAATCAGGACTGTCCTCTGCCCCATAACGGCTGCTCTTTGACCATTCAATGCTGCCCTGTTTACACCAGAATCTCGTGTTATTCCGGTTTCACACCTTGTTGATGTTTCTCAGCCGGGGCGATAAGCTACAGTAGTCGAGGGCTGACAGGGTGCCTTTCATGGCGACATTTTGATAGATGAGGAGGTGTTGACTGACTCACGAACAGCAAAATAAACAAAGCTTGAATGGACACAATATACGGCCACTGCTTGATAATGTGCATCCACTAGAAAAAAATATTTAATGTAAAAAGTCAATACTAACTGGAGGTACATGGCAGGAGTACACCAATGAACTGCCACAGAACCACACAACTTCTTTACAGATCCAAGAATCCCAAGGAATTAGGCCTAAAGCAGTTTCACATTGGCTATCTTGATGAAGAAAATGCAATGATCATCATTAGCTGTTTTTACACGCAACGCTCAAAAAAGATCCGTAAATAGACATTTTTTGTGACTCAAGTTGTTCACCTGAAACAGCGATGTGTAGGATGGACCATGAACTGGACATACATACACCACATATAATTCACAATCATTCAATGGCTTGCAATTGGCAGGTTTGAAAACAAGAGAGCAACAAGTGTGTTTAATGTTTGCCACCTATTTTGTCACATTTTTCTTTACCACAAAAGTGAAGGAAAATGGCTCTTTTGATAAAACATGTTGTCGACTCCTGCCTAGGCTTTGTAGAACAGAGAATCTAAGTTACGAGTTTCAACCCCTGGTCATTACTAGTCAACAGCCTTGAACTTAATTTGCTTTTTATATTCTTAAAAAATATTTAACCTCATGGAAGCGAGGTTGTGTGACAGGTCCCCACAATGTCATAAAGTCCATCTCTCACACACACACACACACACACACTGTCTCTGATACCATTCTGTGGTGGCACTTCATTTGGAACCTCTATGATCTCATGCATCACCTTCATCAGGGAATAAGTGACTATCAGAGCAGTGCATGATGGGAGTCAGGAAGCTCCGCCCAGACACACAAACAAAGGAAACTTACTTCAGTCAAAACAGTGTCCTTTTCACTTCTTCATCTACTCCAGCTTTAGGCCTTTGTTGGCTTATACATCATACTGTATAAATAACATTAGATCAGCCACAATATCCATTTCAAATTCAACCAATTCATAGTTAACAGCTAAAATTTAAGAAAGCAATCATAATTGAAAAGCGTGCATGTCACTGTTTACAGCCATCGAGTCCAAAATTGAATTAAAATAAAATATCATGCTTTTTTTGTTCAATTTCAATTTTCTTTTTCACATTTTCTCTATGAGACAAAAATGTGAAGATATTCTAATTTTTATCATAGACAGCTAATACCAATAGCAAAATGTATTGAACTAGGAAAGTCCCACAGTGATTTCAGGAACTATTGCACATGTTTTTAGTGGTAGGGGAAACCAGACTACCAGAAGGAAATCTATGCAGACACAGGGAGAACATGCAAACTCTGCTCAGAAAGACCCTGTTCTGACTGGGTTTTGAACTCAGGAGCTTCTTGCTGAGAAACGAGAGAGTTAGCCACACCGCCATATTTAGTCCAAAACATTGATATTGACCAGTTACTGATGGTTAAGGGTGCATTTAAAAATATTTCAATTATCTATATTTTAATACATAATAGTTTTTAGTTTACTCCCTGATGTACATCATTTTGTCACTAGAGAAAATGTTATTGAAGTGATGAAGTGATTTATAGAGAATTTTACATAGATTTTAATGCAAAACTCATGGGTTTCATACCAGAATACTTTCCATGGTATTTACATAGGACCATATCAAACACTGTCACTGCGTTCACCCCATCACCACTTCAGCAAAGCACAGCGCGCAACTCCACAACCCACATAAAAAGTTCTTTGCATCCAGCTGCTGATGAAAGGCAGATGTGTAGCTGTTGTGGCACACATGTGTTTTGCGTCTTTCCCTTTGACGTCAGAAGCTAAATTGCTCTGTGTCTAAACAATGGACAAAGCGTGTGGAGCCGTTTACCTGTGGATGATGTCCTCGATCCTCTTCCCCTGCTCTTCATCCTGCTCAAGCTGTTTCCTCCGGGCCTCCTCTTCCTCCACCACAGTTCCCTGGAGGAGCCATTTCTCTCGCTTGGCTTTGGACTGAGGAAAGGAAAGATGCACTTTAGTTCGGTGCTTTCATTTGGTGTAGTAATATTTTACATATTTAATTAAAGGGGCAAGAGCAGGAGTAGCACTGTAATGCAGGTAGACATAGAAATGGAACAGTTGTAAAAAGGCAATCGGCTGTAAAAAGAGCTGTAAAACATATATATTGACTGTTAGTACTGTACAACATTCAAAGGGTTATATAGACCTAACAACCATAGGCCATAAATGGAAAAATACGCTCCAGTGTAGACAAAATAATTTTAGTGATCTTGCCATTGTATTGAAACTGTTATTGTCAATTGATTTCACAGTGTCAATTTTTTTCCTGTTTTATGTGTTTTTAACCTTGTTTTATTTTTGTACTTGTCTTGTGCACACTGGGGACTTTTGCGCATGTATTCCAATGTGGTTTTACTGCAAATGGCAAATACCTAAATCTGAATCTGTTTTTTTTTTGCTATATTATTTTACTCCAAACAACAACCTATGAACTTTTCAGCGGTTTCCAATCACAGCATAAACCAGGCCCCTCACTTCTTTGCTTCCGAGAGTGGATGGAATCATTGATTTGAGTTTGTCTCTAAACTTTAAATCCACAGACATCCCAGATTGGCCTTAAAATTACACTTTTAATTCCAGCTGCTACGCCTGTAAAACACTTAGAAAATCATCAGTGTATTGAAATCCATTGTGTTAACATCCATTAAAGGCCCATGTTTTGCTAGAAGACAGAAATTAGGTCTTCCTTTGTAGCCTGTTTGCGGTATTTTTAGAGCTTGTTAGCAGCCAGATGAGTTCTATTACAGCGGGAGACAGGACATTTAGAAGATGGGTGCCAAGTGACTGCAGACAAATAAACACACAGTCCCTAAAGCACAGTATTTACACAGCACATATGGACCCGGTGTGCTCAACAATAGGCCTCTATGTTACCAATACTCACAATGGACTTGCAATGTTGATGTTGACAGTTTTATTTGTAAGTTGTGCCATTTCAAGTCGTTTCAAGGCACAATATTTCAAGTTCATTCCTAAACAAACTGTGCAGGGGGAAAAAACTGTATTGTACATACTCGAGACGTTTGGGTTGCCCGCTAAAGATCATGGGCACCACTTGATGGGTATTTTGGAGGCTACAAGATACACAAGGTCTTGGCATCAATGAAGAACCCTTTTTATTAAGCAAATCCAACAAATTATATGTGAATTTAATTCTGAGTTGTATAATCATTGCTGGAGAAAAAAAATAATAATTGCTGAATCATATAGAGCCAACTCTTATGGTGACCCATATTAAAGTGATAGTCTGTAATTCTAAATGAATAACAAATTTTAGGAAATGTGTTAAATTGACCTCCTGGCCTTAAATGTTGATATAAAATAAGTCATTTTATTAATTCTAATATTACGGGTAAGTCCCGCCTTCCCTTCTCTTAGCTATAGCTCAGAATCCATGGTGCCGTCCACGTTAACCAATCGAGTCATGCCAAGAGCTGTCAATCATCGGCGCTGATGCTCGCAGCTGCTCATGCTCAGTTGTTTGTTTTCACGGAGCCTCTGAATCAAGCCTCCATCAGGCTCTGGAACTACATGAAAACTGAACAAAGAATTCTGAACATCCGCGCTGTTACCCATTTATATACTGAACCTATATCCATAATCATTTATATACTGAACCTATATCCATAATCATTTATATACTGAACCTATATCCATAATCATTTATATACTGAACCTATATCCATAATCATTTATATACTGAACCTATATCCATAATCATTTATATATGAACCTATATCCATAATCATTTATATATGAACCTATATCCATAATCATTTATATACTGAACCTATATCCATAATCATTTATATACTGAACCTATATCCATAATCATTTATATACTGAACCTATATCCATAATCATTTATATATGAACCTATATCCATAATCATTTATATACTGAACCTATATCCATAATCATTTATATACTGAACCTATATCCATAATCATTTATATACTGAACCTATATCCATAATCATTTATATACTGAACCTATATCCATAATCATTTATACACTGAACCTATATCCATAATCATTTATATACTGAACCTATATCCATAATCATTTATATACTGAACCTATATCCATAATCATTTATATATGAACCTATATCCATAATCATTTATATATGAACCTATATCCATAATCATTTATATATGAACCTATATCCATAATCATTTATATACTGAACCTATATCCATAATCATTTATATACTGAACCTATATCCATAATCATTTATATACTGAACCTATATCCATAATCATTTATATACTGAACCTATATCCATAATCATTTATATACTGAACCTATGTCCATAATCATTTATATATGAACCTATATTCATAATCAGATCCTCTGCAGATGTGTCCTATAATGTGCAATTCATGATAATAGCTTGTTCCGGGGTTGGCCGCGATCGCTTTTTTGTGCATAGAAACATTATTTTTTTCATTAAAACGTTAACAAATAATTCTGAAAACCTCCGTGCATGTGTACTAATAATGGATATGTATAATGTGTTCTCAGATTAACATTTAAAAGTTTTACGGAAACGTAGGTGTAGACCAATCTTAAAGGAAGGGGGAGGGAGCTTGCGTGGTTTTTTTCAAATCAAGTACCTCTCTGTCTCTCTTTCTGACAAACTCCAGACAATCACTTTAACAGAAATTACTATTAGTTTTAAAGCAAGGAATTAGTGAGTGCTGCAGAGGGTACGAGCGGTAGAAGGCTTAATAAACGGATGCTCTTCAAAAACAGGGCAATCTAAGCAGATATAGAATGTCAAAAAAAAGAAGGAAGTCTGAGGCAATCTGTTAAAGTGAAAAACTGAAAAAGTCCTTTCTTAAAATGGACTGCCTACGCGTTTCGACCAAACGGTCTTCGTCAGGGCATGACAAATTACTATTGTTTTATTATTTTGATATTCAGTATCAGCATTTTGATAATCCATGGAGCAATGGGCTGCCTTATAATCTTAGTTGAAATTTAATTATTGCATCACACCTACATGGGCTCTCTAAAAGGGATCACATAAGGGCTGATACAACATGTTATATTTAGTACGATTCACTCAACATTTCTCTTTTACGGCTTTTGATGCACGTTCAAAAAATAAACTTCTGGATGTGTGCAGACGTATGCCAGAGCCTAACAAAATATGAAAAGATTTGTACAGGGCTTTAAAATCAGAAAAAAATCACAGTACATTAAAACGAGCGAAGATACTATCCCTCAGTTGCATCCACAGCTGAGAAGAACAGTTTTTAACCTGGATTTGAGAGTAGAAGAGAATAAGCCTGTCTCACATTTTCAGGAAGACCGTACAGATTGTAGCTCCATACATCTGAAATGCTACCTCCCCTTGTTTAGTTTTTATGTTTCGACCGTGGGGGAGCTTAGCTTCATCTTTGGCCGTTTACTGTCACCCTCCTGAGAAACAATTATCCGTGCAATTAGCTCTGCCTGCTCCTTAGTCCAACATTCAAACAGTCATAAGCTCTGACTGAAGCATTCCCCAGATGCTGCTAGAATGTCCCATCTGCCCTTTTTGTTTGTGGACCAGAGTAAAAAAAGCACAGTAGCGGGTTGCCATATATGCAGAGTTGGGGAAATCAATGGGAAATATTGTTTTTAAATTCATAACAGACGCAAATCTCATAATGCTTTTTGGCTTGCCACTATATTAATACAATATTACTTATTGCTATCTGCTGGGTGTACAAGTCTCTCCATGGCCTCGCACCAAAATATATTAGTGACATGTTAGTACCATACGAACCAGCCCGGACTCTGAGGAGCACAGGGACTGGACTCCTGTTAGTGCCCAGAGTCAGAACTAAACATGGGGAGGCTGCTTTTCAGATTCATGCTGCTAAAATCTGGAACAGTCTTCCTGAAGATGTGAGACAGGCCTCCTCTCTGACAATGTTTAAAACCAGGTTAAAGACAGTTCTGTTTAGCTGTGCATACAACTGAGGGATTTTATATTTGTATCTTTCTTTTTAATGTTCTGTGATTATTTATGATTTTAATGCTTTCTTGTTTTGTTCAGCACTTTGAATTGCCTTGTGTATGAATTGTGCTATATAAATAAACTTGCCTTGCCTTGCCTTGCCTGGGCTGTTTACAGAAACCATACAACATTGAAGTGACAATAGACTTCTCAAAATCAACAAACAAGGTTAATATATATATATATATATATATTATGTGTGCATTATGTGGATGGCATATGACAATACGTGTGTGAGATTCTCAATGAAAGTCAGTGAAGGATATCCAAATGTGCAAACTTCTAATTCCTACTGATGTTCAATTTGCTCATTGACTAACACCAGAGAGATAGATTGAATCTGGACCACAAGATGAAAGAAACCGCAAACTCCAGATCACTGCACTTAAATTGGTATCGATAGCAGTCGCAGTATAATTGTGTTTCCTCTGAGAAGCCTTGTGCTCTTTGCTCTCTCTCACGATGTTTTACAGACTTTCCACTTCCTCTGAGCGGTGACACATTACCACGGTGCTGCTGTTCTGAAGAAGGAGAGTGGGAATAATGTGCCTCTGTATGGGCAGGATTTACCCACATTTCTATAGTGACTTTCCACATGAAGCAAACTTTAGGTCAACATTGTGGCAAACCAACATCACGATTCTCTATTGCTATTGAAAAATCTGAATGAGTGGGCTTTTGTGAATACATTTTGGGTTTACATTGAGTCCTTGGGTGAGTAGTGTGAATGGAAAAGCTATTGATAAACATATAGATAGATAGAAAACAAGAACAACATATATTGAACAAAATTATGCTGCATCCTGACTGTAAAAAGTATACACAATTGTATTTACCTTTGACGTATTAGACTTCATTAGAGTGAAAAAGACTGAAAAAATGTATATAAAAAAATGTTAACAAATTGTAGAACTTATG